AAAATTACGATCTGATACTTTTTTACAGCACTGAATGCCTGGACATATGTATAGAGGGTTCGAATCACTATACGACCAGAGACGCCTAAGGCAGAGGATAATCTTCATCTCGCAATATATTATTTTTTATTTTTTTAAACAGAGTTATGTACAATAAAATTAATAATTATGGGTGTTAAATATTAACCAAATTAATAATTTAATATTAAATTAAAAAATAAATTCCATTTCCATATCAAGTAAGTCAAATCCATTAAAAATAGTATTTAAGTTCTTAACAAAATGAAACCCTTGTTTTTCATAAAACTGGCGTGCAGTATTTTGTTGGTGACAGTTTAAACGAACTTTTTTATAATGATGTTCTAATACCAACTCTTTTACTTTGTACATTAATTTATGGCCAAGTCCTTGACCTCTGAATGAAGGTAATAAATAAAAGTCATGTAAATAACAATAATCATCTGAAGAATTATATTCAATTCCTGTATAACCAAATAATTGAGAATTTACATAATGAAAAACAAATTGATAATTTGAACTAATTTGTTGTTTTAATTGTTCAGTATTATACAAATAATTATAGATTGCATCTCTTGCCTCTGGGCTGAGTAAATTATCATTATAAGTTGAATAGAAAGTGATTTTCGTGATTTCTTGTAATTTTGGGATGTCTTCCAATTGAACTATTTTTGATTCAAAATTCATTAAAGTCTAGAAGAGAGTCTAACCAGCTTTGCGTTTACAGTTCTATTATATCCCTTACAGCAACCCTTGTCAAGCATTTCTTCTTCTCGATTCCAAAAGACAGATTATTTTTTTTAATAAAAAATCTTCATTTTTATTTTTAGAGAAATTTAAAATGAGTAAAAATATAAACTCAAAGTCCAAAAGAATAAAGATATAGTAAAAATAATTAATAATAAACCATAATAAAAGTCAAAAGAAATTAAAGAGAAAGATAAAAAGGAAAGGCAACAAAAAGAAGGAATTTACCAAAAGAAAAAGAAAGAAAATATAAAAGTAGATATGTGGAATTAAAAATATCATAAATGCCAAATAAAAGGGTATAAAGAACATACGAACAAGAAAAGTATTAAAAAAGAAGTATAAAATATAATGACAAGGTATGAGAAAAAACAACAACTAGGAGAAGGAACATATGGTGTTGTTTGTAAGGCATGGGATTCAGTTTGTAATAGATATGTTGCACTTAAAAAAATAAAGCAAGAACGAGAAGATGACGGTATTCCCGTTACATCAGTAAGAGAAATAGCTGTATTACTTGAATTAAAACATCCTAATGTAGTAGAGTTTGTTTAATACAAAATTAAATAAGAATAAATAAAGGAAGAAAAAAAAAAGATAAAAAGAACGAAAGTACTGATAAAATATAGTTTATATGACATTTACTTAGAAGATAAATTCTTGTATTTGGTGTTCGAATTTTGTGATGAAGATTTATATCAATTTATGACAAGAACTTCCAAAATTCCAATTAATGAAACAAGATCAATTGTATATCAAATACTTCAAGGACTTGCGTTTTGTCATTACCATCAAATACTTCACAGAGATATGAAACCACAAAACATCTTAATTAATAAAAATGGAACAATCAAATTAGGTGATTTTGGTCTTGCAAGACTCACAACAATAAATGACCGTAAATACACTTCTGAAGTTGTTACATTATGGTATCGTGCACCAGAGATTCTTCTTGGGGCAACCCAATATGGGGGTGCAATAGATATTTGGTCTACTGCAGCTATCTTTGGAGAATTAATTAATAAAGAAGAATTGTTTAAAGGAAGATGTAAAATTGATCAGTTATTTAAAATCTTTTCTCAACTAGGAACACCAACTGAAGACATTTGGAATGGTGTAACTAAACTCCCCTTTTATCTTTCTACTTTCCCTAAATGGAAAGCAAAAGATCTTCATACAATTTTTCACACAGATGAACGTGCAGTTGATCTTTTACAAAAAATGTTTATCTACACTCCTGAAAAAAGAATTTCTGCTGCTGATGCTTTAAAGCATCCCTTCTTTGACCCTTTAAATAAACCAAGTAATTAATTTTATCTTTTGAGATATTCTTTTTATATATTTTTTATAACATTTTTATATTCAAAAATATATTATTATTCTTCTAAAATTAAATCTACAATTGGATACCTACAATTCAATTAAGCTTCAACAACTTCTCCTTTTTCTTCAGCAACTGGGGCAGCTTCAACTGGTGCACTATTATCTTGGTGTTGGTCAAGAAGTTTAAGTGAATCAATTTTACCAGCCTTAAGAATCTTGACCTTACGAATGTAGACATTGTCCATTGAGAAAACTTTGCTGCATTTGGCAACAATTTCTTTTGGAAGTTTGTTTTCTCTGAGATAATCAACAAATTGTGTAAGTTCACGTGAAGCAGCTTCTTTAGTGATAAGATTATTCATAATCTTTCTAATCTTTTTAATTTGAGCACTTTTAGCATATGAAGTCTTCTTGATTTGGTTGGATTTTCTGCTGGTGAATCCAATACAGAAGATTCTAATTAAGTGTCCATCAGTAGTTTTAACATCAACTGATGTTTCAATAAGAGTACACCACTTCTTAACAATTGATCTCAATTTGTCAGTTGTAAGTTTAAGTCCATGGAAGATCATAAGACAATCTTTTCCGTTAACATCTTCACATTTAAATTTGTAATTGTATGCTCCAAATTTTTCATTTTCCATGAGATCAGCAAGATTTACTTCAACAACTCTTCCCTTAAGTTGTTCTGAAGCAATTCTAGTACCAGCTGTCTTATTGACAACAATTTGTCCAACGGTTCTTCTCTTGTAATTCTTTGGTACTTTAACATTATACCATTCCTTCTTGGAGAATGGCTCAGCAATCTTTCTCTTGCTTCCTTTCTTAACGTTTCCTGCCTTATACTTCTTATTCTTTCCTGTTGCCATTATTCTTCTTTTTAGTTTATATCTTCTAAGATTTTGGTCGTTTAAATAGTTCTTCTCAGGGTTCAAAATAAACTCTTTGAAGTCGAGATGCCCTGTTTCAATCTCTAAAATATATTTTATTGATTTTTGTTGAATATTAGAGTAAAAAAATGTTCTAAAGTACTAAAAAATAATATAATTAAATATTAGAGAATAAATACTTTTTTAAAATATAAGTTACGATAAAAATTACTAAAATAATAAAATCTATTAATCTTAGAGAATTAAAATATAACTTTATAATGGATTTATATAAGATTTAATAAAAATAAAAATATTATTTTGAGATCTATCTTAGTAAAAAAC